ACGTAAACTTCCATGTTTCTCCCGATCTGTTGATGGAAACTGACTCCCCCTCCTGCGAAACCTCCTACAATTGTGTTGATCACTCCTTGTGGGGGAGTTGATCCTATTTCCTGGGCTACCTCGGCTCGCATTGCTCCGCCGGGGTTGGGTTGAGAGCCGGAAGGATGATCAGAGTGTCGCCGCTGGGGTTGAGCGCAAATCCTCTTGTTTTCCGCGCGCAGAGCCGCTAGGTCAGCCTCATTAGCGGTACGCAATGCTTCTAGGTCAGTGTCGTGCTTGGCACACATGATTTGTAGGTCGGCGGCGTGTTGCTGCCGCATCTGTTCGACCTGGTCGATTAATCTTCTCAACGCTGCTTCGTTATCCATAGTAGTTGAGTGGTTTGCGTCGTCTGTTGTGCGTCTACTATGGCTTCTGGTGCAAACCATAAGCGTGGCCGATAAGAGCTGTCTTGATCGGCCCCACAATGGGCGCCAAATGTTCTTACCGGAAATCTGCTGTAGAGTTGATCCGCCAGGTAAGATCGGTGAGCCTCCTTCACTGGTACGCTGGTGCTCCAAGATGGGGGTGGTACCTGCAAAAGAGACTCCGATGCTAAAGTTAGTGTTTGTGGGAGTATGAATCTCGTATAAGTAATGCACGTACCTTAGTGTGAATTAGGGTTGTTTTGGGCCTTGGGCCTGAGATAAGATATGATAGGATTAAATGGCGGATCCCGTCTGAAGCGAGATCCCTCGAGATCGGTTATGATCTGCTTAAATGCCGAGCTGACGTCGCGTAGCGCGTGCCCGACCTCATTTTGTGCTGTGATGCCGAGCTCGGAGCTCGGCTTCGCGGTACGGACAGTACAGGTTATGGTAAAAAAAATTAGGAAATTGAATAATAACCATAAAATTGATTATTTCATTATATTTTATTTTAAAAAGTTATGAATTTAAAAGTATAACAAAAAAAATAGTAAATGGAGAAAATTGCGCAAACCTCCGAAGTCTTTATAAATAATACACGCATCTTTTCTAGTTTTTAACGAATATTAATCTCTTTTATTTATTTATCTAAGTGATATATATAATCCCTTATATAAAATAATATTATTTGTGTATTATTAAGAGAGAACAAATTATTAATCAATTGTCAGTAATTAAATGAGAGTTGATCTCTTATTTAATTTTAATTCTCAAATTATATCTTAAATATCATGTATGTTGTGATTTCAAAAATATGCTAGCTTCAAGAAACAATTTCAAACAATAAGTTAAGAAATTATTTTTAATATTGAATAACAATGAAAATTTTCAACAAAAAAAAAAAAGACATAATATTTAACATAATTTATAATTAAATAATAGATAGGTATATAATTAGTAAAATATGAATTGATTTTTATTTTTATTTTTTCTATTGCTTTAATTAATAATATTATTTTAAAAGAAATGAGTGATTTTTAAAAATTAAAAGAAAAATGTATCTATCATTTAAACGGATATAAAAAAAATGAGTACAATTTTTCTAATAAATAAAAAACTATTAGGAATAACCTAATAGTAAAGTTAGAATAATATATATCACATCATAAATTCTAAATCCACTGTGACCATTGTAAACTAAAATAGGAAATGTAAGCGTGTGTAATTAATTATCTTCTCATTAGTTGATTTTAAAAAATATTTTTGTAAAATGAATTCACTTCGATCAATTTCACATGCAAATTTATTAAGCTTTCAAAATTGTTCTCAATACAAAATGTTTTAAATAAAAAAGAAAATTAAAAAAAAAACGTTTAGAATATGCTTTGTCCGTCTCTTTTTATTTTCAAAGAAACCAAAACAATAATGCATTATGAAAAAATCAAAACCAGAAAAAAAGAAAAAAAAAAAAAGCACGAGTAAAGTGAATCATGAATAAAATGCATTCATATTTGAGTAGAAATAATAATAATAATAATAATAATAATTATTATTATTATTATTATTATTATATATAGTCGGTAGGTTACTTTTTACATATAATTTATAATAGAACTACCATCTATCATATAAGGCTACTTTATATTTATTTGTAATCATCTACTAATGTTTTAGGGTTAGCCATATCAAATTGGCTACTACTTTATGATGATAACTTAATTTGGAATGATTTCTCTTTTTACATCCACATTTTAGAGTTTATACACCTACATATCTTATAAGTGTTTTTTTTTTTTTTTTAGTGTTTAAGATTATTTTCTCTTTTAAGTTTGGTATTTTCTCTTAATCTCTCTATACAATTGGTACTAATATTGGGATAATCAATAATAATATATCATAATACTAACAGTTCTTATTGATCGAGATATATTATAAATAAAAATTTTAGTGACTTGGGTAACAACAATCACCAAGGCTAGAACAAGTCTTATGATTCAACCAATACTTACAAAGATACTTATAAATATCTACCAATGAGATCCTAACATCAATGATGAAATTTAAATTCTCATCTTATATGATGTGAAGCCTATCGTTACTAGTTGAACTAAATTTTTTTCACATATATTTGTTTTCAAATGTATAGAAAATAATGTAGAATTAAAAGACTTAAATATAATTTTAATGCTTATAGCATCATCATTATATAATTTTAGTTTTCTATTTTTATTTAATAATTTTGGTCTCTAATATTTTTCAATAGTCTATCTTATTTTGATTCATCTATAAGTGCATCATCACCCTTTGTCAACTTACATATTTTTTTCTTAAGAAATTATTTCAATATCAAAATTTGTACCTAGATTATTTTAAAGTGATTTTCAAGATTGCCCTTGAACGACAAAGCATACCATCAACATTGATAAAACACGTGTGTTATGAAGTACTATCGTGCTTGCTCATAAGCACATCTATGCTTCCTGTTTTTAAGGAAGCATGATCGTGCTTGTTGAGATACACAGTTATACTTAAAAATGTCTTAATTTTGAATATAAATAGGAACATTCAGAGTACATTGTAAGCATCTAGTTTTTAGTTTTAATTTTTCATTTTTTTCTCTATTTCTTGTATTCATTATTGAGATTATGTAAAAGGCTAAAGTCAAATACTTAGAGGAGGATTCTTCTAATTAGGTTATTTCTTTTTCCTCTATTGAATGGTTTCTAACACCATGTCTAACTAGTTTCTCTTTTCTAGTGTTGTGATGTAATTATTCCTAGTAAACCCTCTCTGATAAATTCATGAATTATTTGTTTTAGCTACTGTATTATTTTTTGTTTTATCTTAGTTAATTAGAAGTGCATAATCAAACTCCCTTAATCAACAAAGCTCTAAAATAATTAAATTATGGAAATTTGTATGATCAAGTTATTTTCATAATTTTCAATTGAATTAATTTATTAATTTATTTTTGTGTGCTTATGCTTTGTTTTTAGAATAAATCTCTTACAATCAATTTGGGATTTTCTTAAAATAAATATTGTTAGCTTCCTAGAACCAAAGGATTGTCAGTAATTTCATTAGTAAATTTACGACATTACTTTATACTTTATCAATTTATCTTGGAGGATAAGGAACAATAAGTCATAATTCTAAGACTTTTATCTTTGAGTTTTAATAATTTTTTAATATTCTGATATGAATTTTGAAGTTAATATTCTCTCAAATCAATTTCTCTTTCTTCAAGTTGTTGAAAATCAATATTAAGTTGGTAATTACTTAAATATAATCATTTGGATTCAATATATGAACGTTGTTCATTATTACTACTTGATAAGGTAGATTTGTTTTTAAGCGCATTTTAGAGCAATAAAATCCCACAAGCATTTGCTAACTTATACTCTTATTTTTTTAGTTGGAGTAAGTTAGCAAGTTATACCTAGGTTCATTTAAAAAAAATGTATTTATAATACTTACATTCACTTTTTTTTTTTTTTTTAAAAAAAGAAGTTAGCAAGTATCAAATGTTATAAAAAATTTATACACTTTGGTCGATTGTTAATTGACTGGTTGTAAGTTTGAATCCTACTTGGAAGGGTTTGATTGATCGCAAAATTTGTAATTAAGAATGATTGAAACGGTTTACTTTGATTGTGAGTAGATGATACATTTTTTGTATTTTTGTTTCTATTTAATCATGTCCCATTTTGTTATGTACTATTTGAGAATCATTAGGGATGACAAGTAAATATGTATCAATGGGTAATGTCCTAACCTGTCCCGACTTTGACGAAAAATATCTGATTTGATTAGGTACAAATACGGATAATATCTTATTCATTAAACTAGGTACGAGAACAAGAATGGATATATACATATCCATATTGTATTTATACTTGTACTTATATCTACTTAAAATTTATAAATATTTAATTTATTTCTTTTAGAATTTATTTAAAATTTATGTAATTTCTTACTCTATTTTTAAGTTATGTCAAATAAAGTTTAATTAATGTAATTTTATAATTATTAATTTATATAAAAATTCTTATTTTTTATATTTCTTTATAAAAAATAATATTTAACTATTTTTTGGATGAGTATAGATATACCTGATACCTATCAGAATGAGAACACAAATTTCATATCCTAAGAATATGGGGACATGAATAAATATAGGGCACGGGACGGAGAACAAAAACAGGTATAGAGAAATTCGTATCAGTTTGGTCTCATTATCATCCTTAAAAATTGCAATTAATAACTCAGTTAAAGTTCAGGACTCTCCTTTGTTGCTGAGTCTGGAGTTATTTAAACCAATTAAGAATTCTTATGAATACAATCATAAAATACTGTGAGTACTTAAACCTTTACGACCATTAATCACATACACATAATAAGTTACCTACAGATAGAAGAATAAGCGAGTAATTAAACCTTTAGGAACATTAACCACACATACATAATAAGGTCTGTGTTTGAATTAAATTTTGTAACGTGATTTTTCAAATGAAACAGAAACAAACTTCTGCATAAATATAAGATTTAAACGTGAAAATTTATCACAGGACGCGGAAACAAACACGCAATAATTAAAACGCGTCTAGCTAGTTGTCTAACATTATATCTCTGGTCCAACTTGTTGGAAGCAAAGTCTTCTATGGATTGGAGGTAAATTAATCCTCCTGTGTTCTACTGCTTCCTTTTTCTCACCTTGTTCCACTGTTGCTTACACTTACACACGTTCAAAAATATTAGCCAAGTTGAAACTTTGAGTCACTACAACTGGATCTACCTCAGACAGTGGCAGGAAGAGGATTCTTTGAAAGGGGTAATTCATCTTCCAAAATATTTAATTTTAGTTGATCCACACACTTTTCATCTTATTCCACCTAAAATTTAATTATTTGATCTATTTTGAACAGGAATTAGACGTTGTAAAATTTAATAAGCAGAGAAATTTGCAATTCTGAGACCTACCTCACTTACACTCAGCGACCCTGTAACGTTTAGTAATTACTTCATGAGATCGGGGTTTGATCTCTTTGAGTGCTGCTTCACTAGCACATCTTCTGACTCAATTCCAAAAGAGCACAGTTTGTTCAAGTGGCGAATCTTCCCCTACAAGAAACTTGCGAAATTCACAAATAATTTTGATCAATCACATTGTGTTGGAAAGAAGGGGTCTATCACTGAATATTACGGTAAGAGATTATGCAGTAGCCTTCTATATGAATATTAGTATAAATAAAATAAATAAGAAGTTAGATGTCTTTAACCGTTTTATATGCACACAATAAAGATTGAGATTTAAATTTGGCATTAAATATCTATCAAAGCTATCATAAATTTGTTATAAGCAAGTCAGATAGCAACATTGAAAGTTTAAGTCAGCTTGTTCAGAATGCATACCATGGGCACTTAAAGCAAGTAGAATTTGCTCATAACTTTCATAAATTTGCACTGACCGAATAAAGACAGAAAACACCCTTGGGCAGATTCACTTGATTGCTTAGAGCGAGTAACATGAATCCTTGAAGAGACTAAACTCAACCCGAAAAACACATTATAAATTATTATAAAATTAAAGTTTCTTCTATAATCTTTTGTATCAATTCACATTGTAATACAATTTCTTTAGTACAACTTTTGAAGAGATTAGAGAGGTTTCTTTGAGATCAATTCAAGAATTACGGAAGGCTCAAAGATCAATCTAAAGTTGTAATTCTTAGTCTGAACTACTAAGTTCTCTATTGTTATCTAGTTGAATTATGTAAATTTTTTATTCAATAAAAGTATTATTTAGTTAATTGAATTTAGATATACCTTTAACCCTTAACCTTAATGTATGATTGTTTAATAAAAATTACTAAAAAAATAAGATTTTTCTTAAACAACTAGAATTTTTCACCTAAGAAATTAAGATTTAAATACATGTGTAGACTATTAAATTAACTGTATAATTACAACTTAAATAAAAAATTTATAGAATGTTACATAGGAAAAGACAGGGAATCAATCTCTAATTACCTTTATCATATATTAATTTCATCCAAATTATTATTTTCTTTGAATTTCTGGAATTAACTATTTGTTTACGTAATTTGTGTAAAACTATAATTTTGATTAGCATAAAAAACACTTAAAGAACTTCACATCTATTACAGTGTTACCTCGTGCTTTTGCATGGATATTCCCTTCTGATTATTTACCTTTGTTTCAGGAAAACTTGAGGATGGACGTGAGATTACAGTCCAGTGCTTTAAGGAAGACAAGCGCTACATATTGCAACAGTTTATCAATGAAACTGTTATCCTAAATTACTTGCCTCACAAAAACATTGTGTCAATTTACGGCTGTGCTTTTCATCACAAGGAATCCCTGCTAGTGCACGAATACCAATCTAATGGAAATCTTGCTGCTTATCTTCAAAGTGAGAAGGCCGAAAACAACACATTACCTTGGCATACCAGATTGGATATAGCTATAGATATTGCAAATGCATTGAACTATCTTCACTGTTATGGCATCATCCACCGCAATGTGAAGTCCAGCAATATTCTCCTAGATGTGAACTTTTGTGCTAAAGTTGCTAACCTTCATTTATCACGGAAACTTCCAGATGGAGTTCCTGTCTATGCCACCCCTGTTACAAGTGATATGATTGGGACATGTGGGTATGTAGACCCAGAGTTGATAAATGGCCGGCTTAGTGTCAAAAATGATGTTTATAGCTTTGGGGTGGTGTTGTGTGAGCTGCTATCATCGGTGCTGGCAAAATACTTGGTTCTGAATGAAGAGGGTAATCTTGCTAACATTTTAAGCAGAAAAATTGAAAATCAAGCTTTGGTGGAGTTGTTTGATCCAAGACTTGGCTTCCATTCAAACCTTAAGACCAAGCAGATGATGATTGCTACAGCTGAGCTTGCACTTCTCTGCATGAAATGTCCACAAGAATTAAGGCCAAACATGGAACAAGTGCTAGAGATTCTCAATAGCATAAAGCCAGGGAGATACCAAACAAATTCTTACTCAACAAAAGGTATAATAAAACCATCTTATGTCCCTTTTCCTGTCTCGTGGTTTTGTTTTCTTGTTTTTTCTATAAACAGATTGAGGATCAAAGGATTTAGAGGAGGGCTGACAACACAGTCTGTTACACACTCCTCTTAACACACTTTTATTGATTAGAATTTATGTAGATTACAAAATCACAAAAGAGTCATTAAATAGGGTGTGAGATCCATTAAATTTTGGATTTTTCAATAAAATTTAATCAAGCATGTTGTTAGTATTTCTCATGGTTTTATTCATGTCTTATAAATTATAATTTATGCATATCAGCTTTAAAAATCTTCCAGTATGCTGAACTTGAAGAAGCTAGTAACAGTTTCGATAATTGCCTTGGAATGGGAGGGTATAGCAGCGTGTACTATGGTGAGAGGCTAATTAGTCCGCAAATTTTAAATTAATGTTCCCTTGTTAGAAATATACATATATCTATATTTGTTCTGATGGAATGCCATTGTATTAGGAAAACTTAAAGATGGGCGAGAGGTTGCAATAAAATGTTTCCATGACGAGAACAAGAGAGAAGAGACCATTAAGCAATTCATGAAAGAAACCGAGATCTTAGGTCTCTTGCACCATCAAAATCTGGTTTCACTTTATGGCCGCACTTCTCGCCATAGCAACAAACACATGCTAGTGTACGAGTATATCTCTAATGGCACTCTTTCTAAACATCTTCATGAATCTTCCAGTGGTAAACTACCATGGCATACTAGGTTAAATATTGCCATTGAAACTGCAGCTGCATTGGTATATCTCCATGACTCAGGTTTCATCCACCGCGATGTAAAAGGGAGTAATATTCTGTTGGATGAAGATTTTACTGTTAAAGTTGCAGATTTTGGATTCTCACGGTCTCTTCCAGATCATGTTACTCATGTTTCAACTAATCCAGTAGGAACTCGTGCTTACATGGATCCTGACTACTTTGAATCTGGAAGGGTCAGTGACAAAAGTGATGTGTATGGATTTGGGGTGGTCTTGTTTGAACTCATATCATCCATCCCCCCAGGTTCAATGGAAGGCACAAATTATGTTACTCTTGCACATTTTGCAAAGAGAAAAATCTTAAACAAGGAATTAAAGGAGGTAGTGGATCCAAGTTTTTGGTTTGCTTCAGATAAAATCACGATGGAAATGGTAACAGCTGTGGCAGAGTTAGCATTTCAGTGTGTGCAGTGTCCAAAGGAATTCAGACCATCCATGAAACAGGTGCTAGATACCCTAGAGGGCATAAGGAAGGGAACATGGGGATTCAACCAGATAACATAGTCTTTATTTTTTATATCAACGTGCCCCATTCTGCCACACCATGCATTTGGTTGGTGGTCTAGTAATTGGATTTTTGCTGAACAGAGATGGTATTTAGCTGCACTATAGTAATTTCAGGATAGTCCTACATCTTATTGAAGCCTGAAGGAAAAATTATTAGTTTTTCTAGGACCGGATGGTACTTAATAAATTTCTACATCAAATATTATCAACTGTTTTTAACCTTTTCTCTTGAGTTAGTTTTTTGTTTTAAGTATATATTAGGTAGAAATTATTTGGGATTATAGACTGATAGGCTAAAATTAACTAAGGAAGGAGCTAAGAGAAATTGTATGGAAGTTAAAAGAAAAGAAATAAGGAGAGACCTAAGACTAGTATTCGTATTGTAACTTTCTCAATTTCTTGAATTATGTGTATTTGTACATTGAACACTGTAATTGCATAGTCATTTTCGGATTCTTATGTAGATATAGGTTTGGTAAAATATTTAATGGTGAGAAATTGGAAAGAGAAGTCAAAATTGCAGTGAAATTGACCTGTCACTGAAAACTAAGAACCTCTCTTGGATTTATATATATAGGATGAGTTCGGATATTACCTATAGGTACGGGTTTATTTGTCATCCCTATGACCTTATTAAAAAGTTGGGCTTAGATATGAACTTAGTAAAAAAAGTCAAGTCTTATGTCTCAATAAGTCTATTAAGCTTGATAGATGAATTATTTATGTACATGTATAAGTATTATATTATTATATTATTGTTATATTATTTATACATGATTATGTAAGACATTTATAATTTATACATATATCCCACATGATAATACCAAAATTTTATAATTATCAGGCTAAATTAGGTTTACAGGACTATTTAGGTTAATAGATCTTATAATAAAATACAGATTAAGTTTTGCTAAATTTTTATATTTGCGAGGTCGAACCTTTTTTAAATAGTCTACGTAGGTAAATAGGATAGGCTCAAATTTTTATAATAATGACATGACTTAGCTAGGGTTATTAAAGTTACTTTATCCTAACCTATTTTTCTCCTTTATCCTTACGGCTATTAAATTGAGCCATAAATATATATAAATTAATCAACTTAGCTTATCACCAAAAGTTGGATCGTGGAAGTTGAATTAAATTAGAGTTAATTATAGTAATAAAAAAAACCTATCTAGCCGTCACCACAAGTCATCGCATGGAGCAGCGTGACCCACTTTTCCCCCTACTTTTTTTTTTTCTTGTCTCATTGTTTTTTTTATTTAAATCTTGTTTAGTTTACCAAGACCGTTTGAGTTAATTCAATAAAAATAATATTAACCTATGACTCATTTGGTTCAAAATGCAAGGAAAAAAAAAACACCTTATTATATTAATATTATACTTAGAGCAATCACATATTAGATCAAGTTTGTGAGATTATTTGAGTCTAAACAAATAAAAATTATCAGTCGAATTATTCAATATTTACTATATTGAAAATCTTATATTGACTAATAATATAGTGTATATAAAGTGTTCTTACCGGAAATCTGCTGTAGAGATGATCTGTCGAGTAAGATTGGTGAGTCTCCTTCGCTGGTACGTTGGTGTTCCAAGATGGGGGTGATACCTGCAAAAGAGACTCTGATGTTAAAGTTAGGGTTTGTATGAGTAGTTGTCTCGTGTAAGTAATGCACGTACCTTAGTATGGATTAGGGTTGCGTTGGGCCTTGGGCCTGAGATCAGTTCTAATCTAATTAGATAGTGGATCTCGTCTGGACCGAGATCTCCTCAGATCAGTTATGATCTGGTTAAGTGACGAGCTGACGTCACGTAGCGCGTATCCGAGGTCGTCATGCGCTGTGATGTCGAGCTGGGAGCTCGGCTTTGCAGTACGGATAGTACATAAGGTGATAGTAATTTTTATTTAGTAAATTTTTTTTAAAATTGAGTTAGATCAAAACCAATTTCTTAATATGGTATCAAAATTTATTTTAATGATATTACTGATTGTTGTTAAGTCTATTAGGATCACTCACTATCATATCAATTAGATATGTAGTCTCTCTTCGTGTAAGTGTTTATTAAGATATTTATCTGTATTGGAACCAATACTCTTGGATATTTCAATTTGCTTCATGTATCCTTATTTGATACCTGAACTCTTGGATACTTTACCCATGCATGTTATGCTATCTTTAATTGCCTAAATGATTTGTGTTAAAAAGGATTTTCTTGAGCACCCCTTCTATTGTTTTCTATTTTATTTTAAATTTACTCTGCAACAAATAGATTTCTTCATACATGTGATTGTGCTTGACATTTTCCCCTAAACTTAATCTAGGTTTTTGCTGAATTGCAAAAGGCAAAGGAAGAGATTGAAAATTTGAAAGAGGAATAAATAGAGAATAAAATTGTAGTAAAATTGACATGTCAGTGTAAGATTAATGTGACAAAAATTAGTATTGCAAAATGTTGGTATATTCTAAATTATGTGAAAGAAAACAAATTAAGTATATATAATGTGAAAAAAAGAAGAAAAAATTATCTTTTATTCATAAGTCAACTCTCCCAATTTCTTAATTTTGTGTATGTTTGCACATTAAAAATTGCAAATTACATAGTATCTCTCATATTCTCATATAAAGGTTAGGTAAAGTATTTAGTAATGAAGAGATGAAAATAAAAGACAAAATTAAAGTTAAATTGAAAGAGCAGACAAGACATTGCACATATCAGAAGTAAGAATTATACAAAATAAAAAGAAAAAAAATAAATTAGTTGTATTTTCATTTGCTAACTTAAATTATAACAATATCTCTTAATTATAAATTAATTATTAATAATTGTTATTATAATTCCAAATTATTTTTTACTTCCTCTAGACCTATATGTAAGAAGAAAAAAAACAATTTCAGATTAATAAAATTTATTAAATATATTTAATTTACACAATTTTATATAAAAGTATTTCATATTTTTAAAATATTTTTAATTATACTTATGGTATATAGTACTCACATTTATTATAATAGAAATATTTATGAATTAAGAGTATTAAACAAAATTAATTTCAATAAAATTTGTTTATATTTTAGCCCAAAATATTTAAACATTTTATTGTTTATATATATATAAGTTCAGATAATAGTAATTATAAATTGTGGTCATATTTTTAACATGATTGAATAGGCTTGAGCATCGGTCGACCACAACCGATTTCGGACCAAAATTCTTAAAATAATTCGAAACCGATTAAGAAAAATCAAGGGCCATTTCTGACCGACGAAGAACTCAGGTTTTGGCGAGTTCAATCCGTACGGGTTACGGGTTCATCAGTTTGAGAAGCTTCCTCTAACGTCTCGTGCTGCCCTCCATCGTCACCCTTCGCTAGTTTCCATCACTGCTTCGTTGGGGGGAAATCACTGAGTTTCAGATCTCCACATCACGACCCTCGTCAACCAGAGCAGGCAACAGGGGGCTTCTCAACAGCGGTGGCCATGGCAGGGAAAGGTTGAAGAGAAGATGATATTTACGGAGTGAAATAGAAGAAGAAGAAGAAGAAGAAGAAGAAAGAAAGAAAGAAAAAGAAGAAGAAGAAGAAGAAGAAGAAAGAAAAAGAAGAAAGAAGAAGAAGAAGAAGTAATAGAAGATGGAAATTTTCGTAGATAACTGCATCCGTAGATATATTCCGTAGATAAACGCATCCGTAGATAAATTCTGTATCCGTAGATAAAATCTGTAGATAACGTTATCTACGGAAAAATTTCCGTAGATAATGTTATCTACGACCTTATTATCTACGGATTTTTTTCCGTAGATAATCCGTAGATAATTATCAGTTATCTATGGATTTTCATCATTATCTACGGATTTTTTCCGTAGATAATGCTGATTTTTCTTGTAGTGAATGATCGGATTTGGGTTTATCGAATGAGAAAATTTCAACACCTAATTCTACCGTTCAAATCCATTTGAACCTGAAAGTTGCATCCGAAAAATTTCAAAATACTTGAGAATCAATTCGCTTCATCCAATCTAATCATCAGTCTAGTCAGTTTCGGATCAACTAGAAATTTTTGCCCAGACCTATGATTGAAATCTTAAATATTAGTTACTTAATGGTCTAAATTAATATTTATAATTAATATATTCACTACAAATTTGATACCAATACACGTTTAAATTAATTTAATAATACACTCAAAATAATATTTAAATTATACTTTAAATATATTTAAATTAAAAAATTTCGTGCATAGTTTATCTTTATACTTCAATTTCAAATAACTTCTAAATGATTATATAAAAATCCAAACACGGAATGGATTAAAAATGTTTGTTTTTTAATTGTGCATCATTATTAAGTTTTATTTTATTACAAATCCCTTAATATTTTTTCAACTCATGTAGTACAACTTCATGACCATACTAAAAAATGTTTACTTTTTATTATTTTAAAATTATACCGAAAACGGTAAAATAATTTAATTAAATGATTTAACATCTTTTTATTTTTCAGATTTTGTATATTATTTTATAATAAAAAAAAATTATCTTATGTTATAACGAATAAATTAAGTATATTTTTAAAATTAAATTTAATATAACAGGCAAGTTATTAGAATATCCAATATTTTCACATGAATAAGAATTATAATATTTAAAGAATTATTATTATAATTATATATTGATAGATTATTCGCGAGTCTTCGAAAACACCCCAGAGGTAATTTAGAGTATTCTTTTAAGAGATGCTTTAGGAGTTGTTGTTTTAAGAGTTTAGTTTGTCTTATTTTTTCCTTTTTTTTCATCTCATGTAAGAATGATGATGAAATTAAAATTTCTATTGAATATTTTAATAAAAAGCTATTTGAGTTTTATTAGTCTCTAAATTTTGACAAATACGTGTTTTTATGTACGATTTACAAAATTTCTGAAAAAAGAAAAATGTATGATTTACAAAATATTTTAATTTGTAATTTAAATTTTTGACAAACATAAATTTACAAATAATTTTTATAATTAAATAAATTTTAAAAATATATGTTTTCTACATATAATTTGAATAAAATTTTATAATTAAATATAATGTTACTTATTTTCAAGATTTTCTAATATCTCTAAATTATATCATATAAAAATATTAATTAAAAAATAACTTTTATACTTAATATAATCTTTAGGTCAAATCCCTTATTTTTATTTTAAGTTTCAATTTTGTGTCTTAAATTTTAAAGGTTTTACATTAGTCCCTTAAATATTTCTATTAGATCAAGTTGGCCGTTTCATCAATTCACCTCACTATTTTGGTTGATTTAGTGATACATGACAAGTTGTAAGGATGATACATCGATAAAAAATTAACATTGTTAACGCAAAAAGTTAATGGAATATGAGTAATTTTACTTGGAAAAATATTTTAAGGACCAAAGTGAAACATTTTAAATTTAGACCAAACTGAAATCTAAAATAAAAATATGAAACCAAAATTCTATTTTAATCTAACTTTGATAAATGAATATATTTTTTATCCAAAAATTCAATAACTATTTTGATCTTAATTCTATCATTCTTAGGTTCAAAAAGACAGGGATGTTTAATTCAAGGAAGACAAGAATTGATCCTACACTCATCCATTAGCTTTCTTAACAAACTTATAATAAGATTAGATGTGAACGAATTAAATATTTCAATAACCAATATGTATTATACCTTGAATAATTAGAAAATTATTTAACTTATGTGATAATTTAGTTTTTTGGAACAATAAATAGCCAGGGTCCCATGCTAGTTTATTACATAAAAGAAGGTCAAGAAATTAGGATTCTCAGCTAGCTAAAAAAGACAAGAATGGTCACCACAGTGCCACAAAATCTTGTAAAATAAAACCAGTACAAACAGAAAAGATCAAGAGAATGCAATAATAGTGTGTCATTGTCTCCAGAAAGTGCTTTTCCCTTTAAGCCACCACTGCAGGCATGTCCTTGAGCCAAGGATCTAGTGGCTTGCCAATAGAATAAACAATAAACCCAATTTCCCTGACCTTGTTAACATCCACAATGTTCCTGCCATCAAATATAAAAGCTGGCTTCTGCATGCTGTCATAAACTTTTTTGTAATCAAGCTTCCTGAACTCATCCCACTCAGTGAGAATGCACACACCATGTGCATCCTTCACAGCCTCATAAGCATCCCAAACCACAGACACTTGCTTTATGGAAGAGGGGCTTGGTGGTTGAAGATGAGCAGGGTGGTCCTTATCAAACTTCCTCATTGAAAGATCCTTTGTTATTTGATCCTCAGTAACCTGAGGATCATATATGCACAACTTGGCCTTGTCCCCCAACAGCCCCTTGCACACATCAATAGCTGGTGTCTCCCTAGTGTCACCAGTGTCCTTCTTGAAGGCAAAACCAAGCACAGCAATCTTCTTTGATGAGATTGTGTTGAACATTGATGACACCACACGGTTCACAAACCTTGTCTTCTGGTAGTCATTCACTTTGATAACTTGCTTCCAGTAGTTTGCCACCTCAGGAAGGGCATTGCACTCACAAATATACACCAAGTTGAGTATATCCTTTTGGAAGCATGAGCCTCCAAAGCCAACACTGGCATTCAAGAACTTTGGACCAATCCTTGAGTCTGTCCCAGTTGCATGTGACACCTGTGTCACATCAGCACCAGTGGCCTCACAAAGTGCTGACATGGCATTCACTGAGGAGATTCTCTGTGCCAGAAAGGCATTGGCTGCAAGCTTTGAGAGCTCAGCAGACCATAAATTTGTGCAAAGGATTTTCTCCACAGGAACCCAATTTGCATACACTTGTTTGAGAGTTTGTATGGCTTTTTGCCCTTCTGGGGTTTCTCTCCCTCCAATTAGGACCCTATCTGGATGGAACAAATCTTGAATTGCTGTGCCCTCAGCAAGGAACTCAGGGTTTGAGAGAATGGTGAAGTTTATGCCCTTGTTGTTGTGGGTCAGGATTCTCTCTATTGCCTCTGCTGTCTTCACTGGGACAGTGGATTTTTCAACCACGATTTTGTCTGATTTTGAGACATCAGCAATCATCCTTGCGGCACTCTCCCAGTATGTCAAATCCGCTGCTTTGCCTGCTCCAAGACCGTGAGTTTTTGTTGGGGTGTTCACTGAGACAAACACTATGTCAGCCTCTGCAACATGCTTCTCCACTTCGGTGCTGAAGAAAAGGTTCTTCCCTCTGCACTGCTTCACCACATCGTCAAGGCCTGGCTCGTAGATCGGAAGGTGGTCGCTGTTCCACCCGTTGATTCGCTGCGTTGATATGTCCACCACGGTTACCACATCTTTAGGACACTTCACTGCAATCACAGCCATTGTGGGTCCACCAACATACCCAGCTCCAATGCAACAAATCTTCACCATCTTTCTTCTCTCTCAGCACCCTATAGGAAGATCAACATCAAAATCAACTAACACATCATCAGTATAATTACATTTTTCTTTTTGTCTATAAACATGATCTACAATCATTGAGCTAAAAGGCTTGGTTAAAGCATAATTACTTTGAATGTTTATTACCGGTTCACAGAACAGGACCAATGTTGAATAATTACGTGACAATGTCAATAGCGATGCAGAAGAGATTCATTCTGATAATTATAAATTATTTATTGGACATGGGTACAATGAGAGATATTAAGAGATCTATAATTTTCAGTTGGAGCAAATATAAACGAGAAAGTTACTGATCCAGAGGACATTCAGTCATAAAAGAATTGAATACAAGTGTAGTAATTAAAGGAACTTGAATTATTCCATTGCTAGTAACAGTCACCAAAATAATAATAAAGTGTTCAATTGCTTTGTTGGGCCATCTTGTGTTTTATATCTTCTACAAACATGCAGACACATGACACGAGACAAGTTGAAGAATCTGAATCTATCATACAATAAAATAACAAATCTAAGACAATTCAGACCAAGACAACCTACAGATCTGTCACAGACATAAGGTTCCTACCCAAATGATAAACCAAACCAATGGCTAGAAGGCAACACACAAAGAGATCGATGAATTAAATTAATTACCTTAATTGTCTAATAGATGAAAAGGAAGATTGTGGCTATGACGAGGAAGAATAGAACTTGTTGTTTGTGTTTGTGGGGAACAAAGAAGGAAGAATGGATCATGAAGCAGCATGTGGATCGGGTCTATTTATGATCTATAGTTAACACGTAACTCGCCAATGTTTCCGTGAATAAAAGCATTAGACTACTATACTACCATTCTTCCACCACATCTTGAATTTTTTCTTTTCCTACATCTTACACCAAGTAGTTTCGTAGTTAAATTGGATCCAATGTGAGGAAGATTTGGCATTATTGTTTTTTAATTTAATTATTTAATCAGTGAAGTTTTTTACTCATACAAATATGAATGTAATGCTAATTTTAAAATAACATGATACATGTATATGTCCATTTAAGTTAAACTACTACATTGTATTGATTTTCTAAATTACTCGTAAAATTAATCTAATTCAATCAAACAATTCGTTTTGTTCCGTCTTTCATTGTTTTTAGCTTTTAGTTTTTTGATTCAACTTTGTAATTAGTATGAATTGAATCTGGTCATTAACACTACTCCTATCACGTGCCATTTATTTAATTGTTAATTATATAAGATATAGATTAGTTTATGGATTTATTTGGTATATATGTACGGAAAGAGTTTAATTTAATAATACACTCAAAA